AGGAGAGCACATCAGACAGGGGGTGTAAAGACACAAGCTTCCGGAACTCCAGGGTCTCCCATCTCATCTTCACAGAGCTCCGAATCGTGGTCTGGTTGCTAAAGACCTTAAGGGTGTGACGCACTACACTATAACCATGAGTGCTACAGTGCTGTGTGCACATCTGCGGTACAGCAAGCCTCGTGCCTCCCCGTTTGTAAAGAGAAACAGACTGCTTGTCCAGGAGTGACTACACAACACACAACTGGCATAGTGTGACACGGATTCGCCAGCTACCAGCTCTGCCATCTTTCATTTTTTTTAAACGGATTTCGTTTTCCACATGTTCTGATGGACTCCCATTCCCGTGAGCGGATGTATAGCAGTAGATTCTGTCGGCGAACAAGAGGTTAAGTTAAAATGCAAGCCGAAATGCTGTGTCACGAAAAGAAGGCCTTGCGTGTGTTGGGGGGAGGTGGGCACCTACGCACAGTGTCATGTGATACAGCCCACAAAAAGAGGTATGTGTATGGGTGGGTGATGAAGTAGAATGGAGTAGTGTGGTAACTGTGTTGCGTCTCTCTCTTTCTCCCGGCTTGAGCTACATCGTCCGAGTGACGCAACAGCTCGTGCTCATTCCCTCCCTGGTTGGCGCTGTTTGTGTTTTGGCTGCACGGTACTGTGTCTGTGATTAAGCCCTGAGCCCTGGCTGTCTCATTGGCAGGGCTGGGGGGGCTCGGCCCAGAGGAGCTATGCAGAGTAGATTCCCTGGCAAGCCCGTGACTATGACAGCGTGCAAGATTACATCACTGCAACCAAAGAGGGAGAGGGAGAGGGGAAGCAATAGAGAGACTTTTAAATCCGCTTCCTCCAGTCAACAAAACCACTGAAGGCAGAGTAAAAGAAAAAATTATATATAACAATAATGATCTGAAGAACAAGGCGATAAAGACCAGCTTTGCTGAGCATATTTTTTTTGCAAAAAATCCTCACCAATGTTAATAATGCTTAAAAAATGAAAACAAGATCGAGAGACTCGAGCGGCGGATGGAGAACAAGAACCGGGGAAAGGAAGAAGGAGACCGGCGGGGAGAAACAGAATGAGAGGGGGTGTTAAAATTGGAAAGAGAAAGGACATTAGATGAGAGCCATAAGGTTGAAGACCGATGAGGGGAGCATTTTTCTCAGAGATGTGGGGATACGGTGAGCGAAGGAGGGGAGAAAAAGAGAGGTGGGTAAGAGATGATAAGGGAAAAAGGATTTGTTTATTTCATCTGGGCCGTTTCACAGAAGCAAGACCATCCTGTAAATCTTGGTCGTGCTGTAGGGGTTTATAGTGTTCTTGTACAACTGAACAATTTCTGTTCAAACAAAACCTCAGGCATCCTCTGAAAACCTGTAGCTCCGTGGTGTTTCCCCCTTTTCCGTATCCCTCGCTTTCATCCATTCTCACTATTTCCTTGGCCCTGCTTTCTTGTCTTCAGTCAGCACATAACAGTCATTTCTCATCTCCGTGGTCTAAGCCTCTTTTCTGTCCTCCACAGTTTGCTCAGAAGCCTCAAGTGTCGTTTGTTCATTCTTTCTTGGTGTATTTTCTTGCGCTTGGTTCGTGGAGTAAAAACAGAAGCCTGGGAAGTGAAGACCTTTATCCTTCACCATGTTGGTGTTTTCAATCTCAGACACAGTCTCTAGCGCAGGAGTAAGAGATTTGAGTCAGATGGCTGATCAGTGCATTGACTTTTCCCTTTGTATGCCTCATTCTCCGGTACACAGGGGCTCCACTTCTCTACAGTCATGTGTGTCTGTGTCTTTCTTTCTCTTTTCTTGCGGTAAATTCTGAAATTGTGAAACTCAGCTAAAAGCCGGGTGCACCTTCTGCATTATTCCTCTCTCACACACAAACCTCACATTCTCCTTTCCTTTCTTGAGCATGGAAACATTTAAATTTACATTTACACAAAACAAAAAAAGGAGGGGTGTCATAGGTATTAATAAGGAGAGAGAATCATACCAACTTAGGCAAGTGGAGATAAAGGAATGCAAAAATGAAATGAGAAAAAAATCATAGCGACCACATCTAAGCTTTTTTTTCCATTAATATTGTTGTCTGTTCAGCCTTTAGCAGCTGTAGCAATAACAGTGTGAGCACATTTACCCAGGTGCTGCTGCTATACTGCCATGATAAAGTATATCAAGGAATCACATTAAATAAAAAAATACCACCATGGTTTGATACTGCCTTTCTTGCTGCAGGTACCAGTGTTGGTACAGCTGCCCTTGTCCTCCATCCCCCAGCCCTCAGCCCTTTAACTCACTGCAATCCGCCATGCACAGTAATGTACGTGCACCGTGGAGCTTAGATAATGGCCTCTCTCTGTCTGCAGCAGCAGCTACCACTACAGAGGAGGAGACAGCGAGGGAGAGAGAGGAAGAGAGAGAAAGGGTGGTTAAAGGGACAGGGAGACTGGGAGAGTGAAAAGAGAGAGAGGGAAGGGAGGGATAAGAGTAAGAATGAGAGAGGAAGAGGAAGAGAAAAATAACAGAGAGTCTGAGGGGGAAATAGAACGACAGCGAGAGACAGAGAGTGGGGGAAGGGAGTCAGCGAGCTGAGCGTGTGTGTGTGTGAGAGAGAGCGCGTGTGTGTATGTCTATGACTGCCGTGCTGACTGAAAGCTAAACCAGATTACTGGCGAGTTTCCTGCTCCGCACAAACCTGTCACTGCTGCTCAGAATCTTGCGCTCCCATTCACCTCTCCCCGGCTGTGTGTGTCTGCATGAGTGTGTGTGTATGTACCCCCCTCCCCCACACACACACCCCAAGTCCTCGCACCTCTGGCTGTTCTGAGTCGACTTGAGCAACGTAAGTAAAACCTATGGGGATCCTTTGCTTTTTTTTCTTTGCTCTCTTTTTCTCTCTTCTGTCAAGGCTTAAAGGTGGGAGAGACTGAGTGTGGGGGAGGGAAAGGGGGCAGTGTGTCTGATTGTGCAGATTTCAGCTGTCTGCTCTCAGGCAATGAGATACCCCCTCTCTCCCCCAGACCCCCATTCCAGCCTCCTTACTCTGTCTCTCTCTTCTGTCTTTATATTTGCAACCTTGAGGGGAATCTTTGTGCTTTATTAAGGTTATGTTCAAGGTAATTGCATTGAAAGCAGTTCCTCTATGAGACCTGGAATGAAAGCCAGACTTCTTGTTTTAGAAAACTGTCTGATCTGCTGTTAACTAGTTAAACAGTCACCTCTAGCTATGCTCTGCTGTGAACAAGTTAAACTGTGACTTCTACTGTGGCTTGTTGGTATTGTTTCCCAAACTGTTTTTAATATAGTTTATGTGTTCCTGGACCTGCATTTCTGCAAATTTGTTATTCTGATTGTTTGTGCACGTGGATCACTTGTAGTATCCAGGCAGTGTTGCGGGTGTTTGTAAGTAGGTGAGTATATATAAGTGTTAGTGTGTTTTTGTCTTATCTAAGAATACAGCTTAGGATATTAGTTCTTACTGTCAAGACCTAATTCCATAGAACTATAAATTGGAAATCTAAATTACTATCTGCTAGAATGACTAGTATTTAATAGACTTAAAAGGTGTGTCAATGTCAAATCTAGTTTAACACAGAGTATTATCCTTAATACATAGGTGAATAATCTTAATTTGGGTTACAGTGTGTCAGTACTTGTAACTGCTACTGCATATCTGTTTGCTTTGTTCCTGGTAGTTCATTGAATATTTGATTTGCAATTCTCTTTTTCAGTGTGTGTCTTATCACATTCTCCTGTGAGTATGATCTGTGTTATTGGGTCTAATTGTGTTTTATGTTTAGAAACAATGCAGGATGGTTTCCTGCAGTGAGTTGCTGTATGTGATTATTTGTGCCTGGGGTCTTGGATATGCTTGTGTGTTTTTACTGCATTGGTAAACTACTGCATTGGTAGTGATAATGTGTAAGTGCTTTTCATTCCTGCAATGCTTACCCTGTTGTGGTTTCTATGTCAAAAGCTCCTCTACATGTAATGAGAAAGAGGAACTGGGGCAGCATGACTACATCTTGTGAAATTGTGGCTTGCTGGCTCACTCTTTCAACACTTTTGTGCAGAGGAGCATTTTCTTTTTTTTTTGTTCTGGCTGTTTAGTTCTCCTTTTCGTTACAAATAAAAATGGAAAGCATGCAATCAATATGTAACCAGTGGCAATACACAGTGGCAAAGGGAAAAGGGTTGTTATTTGTAGGTTTCTGTTTCAAGCCCCTGCTCTGCTCTTGATTATTGTGTGATATCTTGAGCAATGTCCTTGTGCTTTGTCATTTTATTAGACATAATTCTGAAGCAGCAAATAACATAGTTTGCCACCTATTTTCTTTGAAAAAAAAAGCTTCTAAATGATTATCAGTAATGTGATTTTACAGTGAGACATAGGAAATAGAATACACAAGAGAGATGTTGTTTCAGATAAAAATAACTACTGGTCCTTGCCCATCTCTGGCCTACTACCGGATCGTAAAGGTGTCCCCTATTCCTTCAGGAGCAACACCAAGGGCTCTTTTGATACCCCAAATGTTCCCTGTAGTGTCCCCACTGTCTGTAGAGATTCCCATAGTTCAGAAACCATGTCTGTTCTCTATAATAACTCTTCGGTAAAACTGAAAAATTATGATGCCGAAGCTCATCTAAAGGAACAAAAGCATTGCCAAGAATAGAAAAGTGAAGGCAGGAAACATTTAGTGGCTGCGTATCTAGACTTGACAAGTGGGAGACAAGTGGTATCTGTCCTCAGGTGTTGTATCATTTTCCTGGATCCATTTTTGGCTTTACCATGTCTATATACAGTACATTAATATACACACACTCACATGTAGTCATAGGAAAAAAGAGATATCACACGTGAGCATTTGTGTGTGACCACATTTAAAAACATGTGGGTGTGTAAATCACATGCATAAAAGGCTAAAAAAGTTCTCTAACTCCAGACTGGCGCATCCAACTCCCACTCCTGCTAACTATAGCAACGGTCTTTGAATGCTGCCTACCTCAGCTCAGCTGGGCACTTCACCTCATGGCTCTCTCTCTCTCCTTTTTGGTGTGAGTCTCTCTCTCCCGCTCTCTTCCTCCTTCTCCTTCTTCATTCTGTACCTGTGTCCCTGGCTTCTCTACCCGGTTCTCGGGTCCAGTGGCAGGGCTATACCCTGACTTGCTGGGAGGCGTTCTAGTGGTGTGTGCTGTGTGTTGCGCGGCGCACTGTGATGATGCAGTGATGAGAACGGGATGGGGGCGGCGGTGAATAGGAGGGCAAGAAAGAGAGCGCTGCTGTGCTGTATGTGTGTGCGCACGAAGAGGTTGGCATAGTGAACGGAAACAGAGGCATGAGAGAACCAGAGAGAGGAGAGAGCTTTGTTCTTCTGTACTTCCTAGGTTCTTCGTCACATTCTTTCTATCAGTCTTTTTTCTTCTGTATCTCTGCTTTGTTCTCCATGCCTCCTTATCAGTCTTAGATCTCTATGTTTATTGTGTTACAAACTCCCCTTTTTACCCTTCACTGTCTATAAAACCATATTTCCTCCATGTCCTACTCTCTTTCTCTCACCCTGTCTGTATATCTGTGTATACCTGCAACACCAGTAGATTGGTCTGGATGGCAGTCTTCTCCAACAATTAGCAAAATGGCAAAGCAAGTCCTAAGGTCTCACATTTAGTAAGACAAGCCTTAGGAAACTTGTAGCTTACAGGTTTGTGATTTAGATTCATTGCTGTATAATTCTGCAAAGCGTGGAAAAGATTAGACTTTAACTCCAGCCCTGGACTTTAACTCATTCCTGCCCTAACATGGCACAAAGCTTAGTAATGATTTTGATTGTAGAGCAGAGTTTTTGTCTTTTTTTTTTGTCATGATGTGTGAATCTGGAAAAAAAGCTATCAACCTTTTAATTTCTACAGGAAAAATAAACTGTTTTAAATGGGAAGTTAGAAGCAGTGGATCAAATGTTTGCCCTGGAGTTTTTTTAACTCTGTCCTGTCAGTAAGGTGACACGTTCCCTGCATCTCAGTTTCTCTAGTGTTTGCAAAAAAACAATGCAGATCAATAAGTGTGCTTCCCTTTCAAGTTCCATTAAATATCGCACAGACTTTAATACTGAAATCAGTGGTCAATACCACCCATTTGAAGTTCTGGATTAGGCTGTCCCTGGTTCTTGCTGGATGTTTAAAACATGGCAGAGCTGCAGCAGGTGAGGATGCCACCATGCTACAAAATGGAACTAAGGGTTGATGGCATCAAAGCACAGACTTTCATCATAAGTAACATAAACTGTAGAAAAAGGTAAAGCAGACAGCTACTCCCAGATTAACAGGATGCTTTGAGACACAGAAGGTTTTCCAAGTGTCCTCTAATCTTAAATAAATGAGCTAGTTGAGCTGAATTTGCTGAATTGCAACAAGGTTCTACTACAGCTGTCTTCAGCCCTACTTTTGGACAGCCCCTGTCTAGCAGGTTTTATACGTAACCCTTAATTAATCTATTTGACTATAGTCCTGATTCAATTTAATTATGATCAATTAAAGAGGCGGTAATTACTATGCAGAATTTAGAAATATTTGGGAACAAAAATCAGAATATTTTTCAGATCTCAACAAGCAGTGTTCCCTTCAGTGAAACATTACTTAACTGATCAGGTGTTTCTATTCTTTGAATAACAGGGAGCATAGGGTGACCTTTAAGAATAACTGGATTGGGAATCTCAAAAACCAGAGCTGGGGATCCTAGTTCTCCTAAAATGAAGACCAAATAACATTAATTATTTTTATTTCTTCAATTTTGCAGGTCCCATTACAATTTTCTGTTGCCTTGTGTTAATTAGTAAGTCACCCTCGTCTTGCAATGTTGTTTCCCAGAAGTAATTTATAGAGTTGATTAGTGAAAGCTTTTGTGAACTGAAAATGACCAATTTAAGTTATTTGACTTCTCAATCTATCCGGGGCACGTTCAGACATTACAGGCTTCTCATGTTTCCTCTAAAATGTCCATTCATCATAATTGAATATTTTGGTTGGTAACCTGCTGGCCAATAAAGATGTAAGTGAAGAGAACTGAATTAACTTACAGTGCAAATGTCTTTATGTAAGAAGAAATGTCCTTAGGACAAAGACAGGTTAAAGCAGAGAACAGCAGCACAGAGTTTACAGCAAAGAACCTGCAGGTTAAAACAGCAACAGCCAAAACAAAACCAGATGAGAGTGTTGGCTGACGGGGAGGTTCATTGCTCCAGGAGACTGGGTTAAAGTTCAGACCAGGTTAATGTTCTGTAATTCCCAGAAAGCATTGTGTCTGCGCTGAAGACTTTACTCTGATTATGGCTAACTGGTAAAATCTTTTTTAACCTTCCTTGATCTGCCTCTGATGTTTGCTGATCATTCAGTTTAATAACTTACCAGGAGTATCCAGAGGTCCTGGATTCTCTTGTCAATTTTGTTACATTTTTTTAGGTTTTCTAAAACTAGCTATACAGTATAACACAATTCAACGTGATATCCATTTGTAATAGTAACTGATGCGCAAGTGGAGCAGCAGAGGTGCAGGCCAGGCAGATGCTGCTGGAGGCTTTGCGAGTGGTTGTGTGTGGCTTGTCTTCCCTTTGTGAACCGAACTGTGTGCCTATACTGCAGACACAGGAAACAGGAGGCAGTGCGCACTAGGTCAGTAGGCCATGCTGCCAGCAACAGGCTGGCCCTTTGTCATCCCATCCACAGAATCCAAGAAAAAGAAAATAAGAAATAAGAAATTTTTAATTGGGGAAGACATGATGTAAACAGAGACTGTTGCTCCAGGGTTGTGGAGTGATCTCCGAGTCCATATCAGATCTTGTCAGTTAGCGCTTTCAAAGCCTGTTTTAAAACTAACTTACAGGTATATCCTTTAATTCTGTTTAACTTACTGTTTAAATTTGTGTAAGCAATTGATTTGATGAAGTCTGTACTTTGGTCAATTCTATACTGAGTCTTTTATTTGATAGTTTTATTGTATTGTTTTTTGAGATGATGTACTGTGATAAGGCACTACATATTAACTAAATAAATAGTATTATTATTATTAAACTAGAAACAGGAATGCATGAGAAGTGAATAACACAATAAAGAGTATGTTGAATAAAACATTTCTTGTTGTGTTGTTAATCTCCACTGCTTGGTTGTCTGTATTATACTGGCTCAGTATTTCGGTCAGTGCACACTGCAGAGTTCTGCTAGGTTTCTCACTGCATCAGAATGGCTTATTCTGGCTTATTGTGGTCGTGCTGAATGTTCCTGATGGTCCTTTTTTTCTGCAGTGCTGCACAGCTCCACCATCTCCATCTCTTTCCACAGCTCTTCACTACTTTTCCAATAAATGGAAGTACAGCTGTGATCAATATTTGCAGCACAGGGGCTCAGAACACATTGCCTTTACTGCCCTTGGAGTCCTGCCCAGAGTTTTTTTAATAATATGTATTGATCTCAACAAAAGCAGAAAGAAAGAGGGAGAGTAAACCATGAGAATGAATGGTGAACATGTTAGTGACTGGAGAAGGATATGAGATACTAACCTCACATACAGAGCAAAGAAGTTTTGAAATCCATGTACGTGTAGGTGTGTATCTATTGTATATATACACTGTATACTGTACAGTTCCATACCATAATAAAATGAGCAGCTTTGACCAAAAGACTACAATTGCAGCCCAAGATCAAGAGAACAGAGCAGTTAAGAACATAGCAGTATTGAGTAGGATTGACTTCATATATCATGCACAGCTTCAGAATACTGATAAATATATCACAGGTGCAGTAGATCTTTTGATATATTCTTATATTTTTAATATATAGTTTTTTCATGTTGTATTTTTATTTTTCATGTTGTATCTACAAACAGGTTACACAGTTTCACAGTGATTAGCCTTTCTGCCTTGCAGTAATGGGGCCCTGGGTTCAATTCCTGGGGAGCCATTTGTGTCGAGTTTGTATGTTCTTGTCGTGTTCACATGGGCTTCTTCTAGGTGTTCCAGGTTCCTTCCACAGTCGAAATATATACTGGCAGGTTAATTGGCTTCTGGGAAAACCGTGCCTGGTGTGAGGGTGTGCTTGTTTGTGTCTGTGTGTGCACTTCAATGGGCTGGTGTCTGATCCAGGGTGTATCCTGCCTTGTGCAGTTGTTCACAACTTAGACACTGTAAGGCCCATCGTGGTTGATTGTTGCTGAGCGGCCATACAGTGCCAGAATTTCATTTATCAGTTTGCTGAATTGTCCCAGCAGTGTCAGATTCAACATCTTGGATTGAAGGCAGCCATAATAGAGGTGCCCACTATTTCCACTCACCTTTCCTAATTTTCTTTTCAGATTTGCATCAAGGAAAAAGACTTGCTCCTTTACAAGAAAAAAGTTAGACTTTTTAATGATTAAGGGGATTCTTCGTCATGGCCAGCCATTTTATTTGCTTTTAAAATTTTTAAACAATGCCTGTCGGTGAACGTTAGCCAGGATTTGCATGTTGTGTACAAATGGTGTGGTGGAGATATATTCATACTGTACTTTATTTGTCCAGTGTAATCTATAAAAGCAACCTATCATAATACATAATAATAAACAAGGTTTTGAGAGTAACAGATGGTGGCAAGTCTCATTCAATTGTTAGGACAGCACAGTAGATCTTAGAGAAAACTGTACAGACCTTCTTAATTCTGTGAACAATCTGAGAGTTAAGAGTGGGGTTTTCTCAGTGTACAAGGAGCACAAAAACTAGCAGGGCTGAAAAGTAAAAAGAAGAAATAGCAATATTTCAACTGTATTAAGTTCTTCAAGTGTGTACAAGCTCATACACCTGAAGAAGTCTCCACAGAAGAAACATTTTTTTTCTTTTTTTGACATGTAATTTATATTTGCTTGGTTCATGAAAATTATATTGTTTCATACATTTCAGTTTTCTAATCTATTTTGCCATTTCCTATACATCATGGTTCCCTATTTGTTTCATACATTCTTTTTTACATCCTGGGGTTTGCAGGTTATTGCTTTAGAAACACACTACTGGGTCTTTCTCCAAATATCTTGTATGTCAAGAAATAGTGGTTTGTTACACATCTCTTCCTCTTTGGGTAGCGAGCAGTGAAAGGAGACTGTGTCATTTTCCAAACAGCTTTGTCTTTCAAACCTATATGTTGTTGAGCAGCCATAATTTAACCTTATTATTGAGGGATGTTTTACCTTTAGCCTTTTTTGATGTACTGATAAATTATATACTTACTCAGAGCTTCATGATCAACCTTGTGAGGATTTAGGCAAAATTGAAGTTGGTCAGTAGACTCATTAATTAATACATTTGCATGGACTTGATTGTAATAATAATATCTTTAAAGGAGACTTTTTTTAAATATGTGTATTTGCCTCAAATCCATATGGCAACCAGATTAACACACACCTCAAATTCTGCTGTATCAATCTTCAAAGGAACTAGTGCTTTTGTGCTTGAAATATTAACTACAGGATCCTGTTACCTTAAAGATCTGGAAGAAAATCACAGTTGCAAGTTGCCAGGCTTGAAAGCTTCTGCTGGTTACCACAGCCTATCCCTGTCTCCACATATCTCTCTGTATCTGTGTGTGCTAATAAGAGGTGATGAATACCCTACTGTCATCCTAGCTCGGCAGCGAGAAGGCAGCATTAGCTAATAGATTCTGAATCCATGTCAGATCCCAAGGGAAACAGAGAGAGTAAAATCGTGGACTGGACTTATCAAACAGGAAAAATGGATACTATCCAGAGAGAAACAATGGTATTGCAGATAGCAACTTATTCTGGAAAAATGTAAAACCTGGACTGTAAACTTACAAGAGAATGGATACCAATCATATGGAATGGATCAGAAGTCATGTAAAACCCTTTTTTCGGTTTCAAGTTGTTAGAAAAAACACTATACAGTACATTTAAGCTGTAGGAAGAATTTAAGTGTGATAAAATTTAGTGGCAGATTTTTAAGATTTCTGTTCAGATTTATTTGTGGCTGGATTTATTGATCTTTCCATCAGATGTAATATATGCATTTTTTCCTATAGTGATTTTAAGGGTTGCTGACTTCTCAAAATCACTTCAACCAAGAAAAGCATAGCCTAGTTTTGTGAATACCATGCACATAATACATGCATATTATATCCTTGTCCTTATCAATAATTCTTATCTATTCACACATCTATATATAAGTTAAAGTCAGGACAAGAAACATGCCTACGGTGAAGCTAACAATGATGGACTCCTGTTGTAACCTGCACTATTGCAATGGGATGGATGTTGCAATCATTCTTTATTAACTAAGGTTGAGTATTGTGTACTGGAAAAGTCTAATCTTTGACTTTGGCAGTTTGTGCTTGTCTGTGTGCATGTGTGTGTTCTTCTTTAATTTTGCATACTCCTGTAAATAAGGGAGAAGGGGCAATTTATTTATCATGATACACATCTTCTACACCCACAAGCTTACCTTGCTTTAATTTTCACCTCCTACGATGTTGAAGTATACATAAGCTGATCGAAGATAACCCTCATCCGTTCGCACTGGAGCCCGTTTAGCCTGTGCAGAGTGCAAACGAATTGAACTGAAGTGGAGCAAAGTGTAATACCTTAGTAGACCAGTAGTCTGCTATTGCATACCAAACTCAAAGGCATATTAGTAGTAGGTACTACTGTTTCTAATATTAATATAACAATATCCAAAGTGACTTACAGAGACTATAACAAGTACAATATCTCAACATGTGCTGCTGGGGAATAAGAAGGTCCTCTGAGTTGCTCAGGGTGACAAACTAGAGAGACTGGGGCATAGCTAGTTCTTGCAAGGGGCGACTCTTGTTAACAGGTCTTCTATCTTTGAACCACAACCTTTAAAAAGCTGGTGAGCTGTGAAGGTAAAGTGACAAGGGAAGGAAATTAAAAATGGGATGTAGGGCATTGTTATAACATGTGCGATGAGGTTATGTTTTTTTCAAGATCCTCTAGATCTGTGCTCGTTAGTTGTTCTTTTGCTAAGGTCCTTACCATCCATAACAGGCTCACTTCAGTGGGTATATTAGGAAAGACATTAAAAGTGTAAGCAGGCATGGTCCTTAAAGTAAAAATGAAAGTTTTGATTAACAGCTTGCCATTTCCCATATATTTTAATTATTTCTCAGAGTAAACCATTCATATTCTAGAAAAGCCTCAGTTCACATTACATTTTACATTGTACATTATACATTTTGACTCTAATAAACTAGTATACTAGTATAGCCCAAATGTTTTAATTTGATAAAAGTATTATTTTATTCTGTATTATTAAATTTGTGGATTCATGGTTTGCAATATAAATTGATCATCAAAAAGCCATACAACATAAACTTCAGAAAATTAACAGTTTTTAGCAGGAAAATGGCAGCATGTTGTGCACAGCTGCGAGTGCACTGACAGTCTGTTAAAACAGACATGATGTAAGTAAGTTCATTATGTCGATTAACATGAAAGTCATTGCTCATAAGGAGGAGTGTGCGTGTCACAGCCCACTCTGATATTTCACCACATTTATGACTCGTTGTTCCCTGCCTACCCAAATTCTTTTCTGCTGTTTTAGCTGACCCGTGGTTGCATTTGTTTTTGTGGCCCCGGAAAGTTCTTTTAACACTGGGAGACTGTACTTCCATCCCTAAGTTAAAAAAATTGTCTCCTCCAGAACTGGACCTCAAACTTAGTGTGATACACTAAGCTTCTACAATTACTCTTGGGTTTCCCTGTGGCAGGGCTTCTCTCAGTTTCAGACTCTCTCTCACACCAGGGTTTCCCCTTTCTCTTACCGCATTGGTTTCTTTAACCCCTCAGAGATCTTCAGTCAGGATCTCAGCCCTGCCAGGGAACTCATCTTTCTTCTCTGGTTCATCCTGAGACAGAGCTTGCTCTCAGTGGAACACACTGAAGATTTCTCTGCCTTCCGACTCCTGTGCTATGAAGTGTGCTCTCGCTGCCGACCTCTCTTCCACTCAGCAGGGTTCTCTGGCAAAGACTGCTTTTTTGTCCACAAAAAAGCCCTGCCACAGCCCTGACAATCTCCTCCAGTGTTGTAGCTTTAATTTCATACCCTGTCAGAGAAGAGAGCTTTTCCTTTAGTCACCAGTTTGTGCTGGAGCTTTGTAGGAGGAAAATATCTGTCTCTCGCTCTCTCCATCCTTTCTGGCTTTACTCTCCATCATGCCATCCCAAGCTTTCAATTCCCAGGTCTCTCTTTCTGTGTTCTTTTCCTCAGCTGTATAGTTGAATGTTCTCCTTGCGTGTGTTCCCTACTCCATGTCTATCGCCTCAGCACAGGTGTCCCTTATTTATGTCTACTCACGAGCAAGGGGAAAGGGTCTCTCTTGTATTGCTGCTTCAGCATCGGGCAGCTCCTCCCTCTCTGTCAGTACTAATACGAGGACCTTCTCTGCATGAGACTGTAAGCAGACTGTGGCTCTCTCTTTGACTGGCCTCTTTATACTCCTACGAATTGATAACACTCGTGGCCAGTTCCATCAGAGCATTCGCTAATTACTTTTCTAATTTTTTTTAACTTTTTTTTTGTTATGTGAGCCTCTTCAGTGTGATATGATTGTATTGCCTCCCCATAGGCCCTAGTAGAATATGTTTCCAGTAATAGCAATACTTTTGCAATACATGCTTTGCACCAGGCTGCAGGTGCTGTTTTGAGGGATTCCCATCCCATTCCTCTCATAGAGCCCGGATAAGCATGTGTCTTTTCACTGGTCTCTGAGCCCTAGATGCCATATATCATCCCAGTTGGTTTCACAAATATTCAATGGTTCTTAAGTCTGGCAGGTAGGGCAACCACCTATCACTTTCTTATGTCATGAGAAAGTTGTTACTATGCATTCAGGATGTAGATGTGTACATCATGCAGTTAGGTTACCAGCAAAAACTGCACATGGAGTTCTGTAGCAGGAAGATACTCTTGATAAGACCATCTGACATGGACTTCCCTATTGAGCATGGTGAGGTGTTGTGACATGTTGTCTACCCAGTCGTGGACTGACAGTTGTTTAGTTGTCTTGCCAGGTTAGATGTTGCTGGTTTTGAACACTGCAGATGACGAGCGACAATGCACTCATTTAATCCAGTCTTAATGTGCCAATGATACAGAGGTCCTGTTTTCTTCATAAGTGAAAGATTTCTTGAATTTCACTAGGCTAGACGTTCCACAGATTAAATAATTTCTTAGTCAACTTCCATGCTAATGAGGTAATTTAATGCAACATTCAAATAAGCTTCAAGTTCAGTCATGTAGCATCAATTAATCAAAATGATACTGAAAACAATTATGATAGTGATATTTGTTTTAATTCTCAGTGTAAGAAAATACTTAAAAGAATAGTCACAACAATGTTCTCTTTATTTTTTTTAAGAAAATGAATGATGTATTATTTATCCTTTTATACACTTATGATTAGAGTCATGAATTCATCACAAGGTTGTGTGTCCTGGCTATCACAAGCCCATTCAACTTTGATGGTGTGAAGCCAGTTGTGTGGTGTGTTTTCAGAAATCATTCACAGCTGCCTAATGACGTAGCTCAGACTCAAATTGGAGATGTCTGATTTATAAGGTTAACTTAAATATAAGACTACAGTCCTAAAAGTTTCCTTACAGGCTGAAAAAAGAGCTTGCATCCTGTGCCTTGTGTCTTTATATACTTCTCAAAGTTCACCTGTCATGAAGGAATGAAGTCAAACTTTGCTTCTTTGATTGTGGGCCTAACTCTTTCTCTTTTTCTCTACAGACAGGTTCCAGGGTGGGTTCAGTGGATGGCCCCAGAAGAGGCCAGATGGAAGTTGGGTCAAGTGACCACGGAGAGGAAAATGGGCTGAACCTGGGCCTCGTAAATGGGGCCAGCAGGCAGCCAAGTGAGGAGGAGGAGGGCAGAGATGGACAGGAGGAGGTGAACAGTACACTTGCATTCACAGAGGGAGCTCAACAGGCCTGGACAGAAGAGGCCAAAAAGATGGTGCCACCACATCTCCTGCGAGAACACCAGCAGAACCCAGCCAATGGATGCTGGGACAATCAGGAGGCTCACCCAGATTTGCCTTGTACCACAGACTCTACTGCCACTACTACAAGCACTTTTGCTGGTGCTACACACAATGATGTGGACATGGAAGATGCCAGGAATTTGGTTGCCTTTTCCACCACTCCAGTGTCCATGCTGCCTCCATATAGCACTGCAGGCATAGGCATGGCAGAGCTACAGACCATGCATCTATATGAGAAATTCAACCAAGAAATGAACACAGGTGGTGTCAGTCGTGGGAAAACAGAGGCAAAGGGAGGAAGTGTGGGAACTGGACATGGCTGTACTGAAGACTTGAACACCTTGCAAATGGCTCTGAAACTAGCCAAGCACGGCACAAAGCCACCCAACTGCAACTGTGATGGCCCTGAGTGTCCAGATTACTTGGAGTGGCTTGAGAAAAAAATTAAACTGGCTACAGGGGATGAGCAACAGTGTTCTGCTCCAAATACTAGCCCCCAACCACAGCCTCTTAACAGGGCCTCCCAGTGCCCCTTGCCCCTTTCCGCTTCAACTCCGGTGCCCCCAGACACCGTGAATGCTGAAGACCAGGCTGTCCATCCAGAAGCCCCCCTGCCTTACTCTCCAAGCGTGCTGTCCATTGCTAAGGAGAAGAACATCAGCCTGCAAACAGCCATCGCAATAGAGGCGCTTACCCAGCTCTCCTCAACAGTGCCCCAGACAGTGGTACCACCTGGGGAGTCTTCATCAGCAAACCACCTTTTCTATCAAAATCACCATAATCATTATCATCGTTATCCTAATCATGGTAATGGATTCCAGTCTTCCGGTGGTCCCATCTCTTCCTCACTCACAACTTGTGGTTCTAGAGACCAGTCCTCTACACCAGCCCCTCCCTCTTCTATATCTCCCATGAATGCTGACCTGAGCTCCCAACAGTCCATCCAATATCCAACCTCATCAAACCATGGAAACTCCCACTTGCTTCCCCATCAGGCCCAGTTCTTTACAAGCTCTTCAGCCCTGCAAGGTAACCAATCCCGGGGACACCACAAAATCCAGCCCCAAGATGACTCTCCACTGCACCACCCTGCTAATTCTTCTACTGCTTCTGCTGTGACCAACAGCCAACAAAGCCAGCACCACCGTGCATCTCCTCATCCCTCTGTCTCTCCGTTTGCTCACTCAGGCCCCAGCTCCCAGCCCCTGCCAGGAAATACCCAGGTTCAGTGGCAGAGCAGTTGTGAGAAGCCCAGAAAACCAGTCAATAATTGGATGATGCTGAACTCCCAACAGCCCAGCTTTCCTGGCTGTGACCCCATGTCTGAGTTGCAGCAACTGTTAGGTGACACGAGTGGGAAGTACATCGGTAAGTCTTCTAACAAGATCCCAGAAATGCTACAACAGCAACACCCTCAACTGCATAATGAACAAGTAAAGGACAAAGGCGCATCAGTGGCCAGAATTAAACAGGAGCCCTTCAGTGAGGGAGACTTTCCAGGAAAATTTTATGGGATGGCCAATGGGCAGCAATCAAGACACCCCATGTCTCCAGGCAGTGCTATTCACCACAAGACCCAGGTTGCTCTGCAGCAGCACCTTAACCACAAGAGGAGTCTCTTCCAGGACCAGTCAGACCAGACCTCAGCTCTGCCCTCCAGCTTTCAGGACCTCAGGAAATGGTGGCCCCATCCTGGAGGAGACTTGAGTATAAAGCAAGAGCTCAAGGAAATAAAAAAGAAGAAGACTAGCCAAACGTCTCAATATCTTAAACAACAGCAGGCCCTTTTGGGCTTGCAGCCACAGATGCCCCAATTAACTAAGCCCAAACAGATTATAATCAAGAAGCCCAAACAGAAAGCTTCCATCCCCCCCTTCCTCCCACAGTTCCAGATAACCGTGCAAAAACCACGAAAGCTGGAAGAGAGCCCCACTACCACACCAGCGGTATCAACAGTGGCCAGGCAGGAAGGGCTCCGACACATTTTGCCTGAGGACCCCTTCCTGGTCAATAGTTACCTAGATCATCATGCAGTGGTGGGTCATTTGGCTGAGAGCAACACTCAGGAATCAATTTTGAATAGTGCTAGTGCTTCTACTACTACTCCTACTTCTACTGCACTGGGCTTGGCTGTCCAAGCCTTTGGTCAGTCTGTATCTTTGCAGAGCGGAAGTGTGAATAATTCCCAGCTATCTTCCTGTATCCCAGAGTCCACCTCTACCCCCCCAGCTCCTACATCCCAGCCTTCTTTGAGCTCTGATGGCCTTTCTCTCAACAGTGAAGGCAGGACAGCTCAGGCCAGTTCCGGGCTGAACATCCCAGAAGAGCCATTGAATAGCACCAGCCTGTCAGCTTCAGGGATTTCCAGCTCTGCTCCTGATGGTTTGAATTCCATAGATGACAAATTTGAGGAGCTGATCAGGCAGTTTGAGGCAGAGCTTGAAGACCGTGTGGCGGTCCCTTCCCAAACCCAGACCCAGATTCAAACTAAAGCCCAAGCCCCAGTCACAATCCGGGCTCCAGTGCAGGAGCCTCAGCCTAACTCTAACTCTAACTCAGGACAAGCCATTGATTCTGAAGACTCTTCAGGTCTGGCTTCTGCTAACGGTGCTTTGCAAATGCCCAATGTCCTTGGTCTGCCAGGAGAAGAAATGTTAGTGAAGATGGAAGTGGATGGAGAGAAGAGCACAACCTTGGGTGTAGTCCCTGCCAATCCTCTAGTACAGGAGGATAGGGGGGAAGTTGGGGCACCACCTCAGGGGATAGGTTGTCCCTCAGTGCCCCAGCCACTCCAAGAGGCCCTTCTACAGCAGCAACAACACAGAGTCTTGGAAGACCCCTTTACCATCCCTTTCTCTAGCCCTCATTCCCCAGTTAAGAAGATAAAGGTTGAATCCTCAGGCGGTATCACTGTGCTGTCCACTACGGCCTGCTTTTCCACTGAAGATGAGACCCCCACAAAGAATGAACCCCCCCTCACACCATCACTCAGTGGGTTTCTGGAGTCACCCCTGCGCTACCTGGACACCCCTACCAAGAGCTTGCTGGATACCCCAGCCAAGGATGCCCAGTCAGAGTTCCCTATGTGTGACTGTGTGGGTAAGTACAGTAGGTCACATTCCTCTCCTGCACACATAGAAATACAGTTTCTATTCATCTTCCATATCAACCACTAGTATGATATATAGGTTTAACTAATATTTTATGTTTTTAGCATGTAAAAGGGGAATTTCTGTTGTGATAGACTTGTGCTTGTGGAAGCAGCAAACCTTTGCACAAACCTCAGCTCTCCTATCTCTAATGCATATGAAGAACCAATTGGTTTCTTTGGCTTCACTTGTAAATATCTTTTAACCAATTGTACAAAATTACAAACAATAATAGCTTTAGAGAGGGTAGTTACCACTACCCCTCAACTACTCTAACAGTTACTCATGATTATTGCAAACTGCTCCAAACTCCTACCCTCATTCCAACTGACTCTCAACCAGTGTCCTGACTAGTCTCAACTCCTACAATGACACACCCTTATATACACATTACCCCCTGGTAAAATTGTGCATTCCTTAATAATTTAAAATCATTACACCAAGTGAAGTGTTTAAATCAGTTTGGAGGTCATTTTGGCGGCATCTAGTGGCTGGCCCAATCAGACACATTTACTCCTTATATTGTGGCATTCGAATATTTAAAAGGATTCGCATGGCAATCACTTATCACCGTGGCAGGCAGTTGGAGGATTTGGGCTATTTAGTATGTTTACTCACAGTAACCCTACAGAAAAGAAAAACAGATTAAATTGCAGAGTAAGCATTCTTTCCTCTACTTATCTACTGCAAATCCCATTTCAACGGCACTAAAATATTTTACAGTTCATTCTTTTGATATGTGATATGTGAGGAAACCTTTCCAAGAAAGTACACATTTTCTTGCAACTCAGTGGGGGATGTTTTGTGGATATGTAGGACCTCCATCATGTATAACCTTTGTACTGTGGCAGGCTGCATGTGCTTTTCACATTGAAAGGAGAAACAAATTAGCAGCAGGTCGCAAAAATACTTTTTTATTCAGAATTAAGGCTGAGAACTGGAGGCACTTCTTCGCACAAAAAATGCTGGAACTGGGTATCCACACATGTTGTTGAAGGTACATATCCTGGTATCCTTCAATAAATAGATGAGATTATTTGGTGAACAACTCATAGGAAATTAGATAGATGCTTTCTAGAACCCTTTCTTAGCTATGGGAAAGTGTGACTGGTGTTCTTAATTTGTGGTGCCATCCTTCTGCTCATGTGTGGCAGCTATAGTTTGCACTACAATTAAATTGCCCTTTTCTACTTTTTTAGGATTTAATTGGGCTATTTAGAGTACTTGTATCTACTCTTGACAGACAGGCAAATAGATGAAGTTGTAGACATAAGATAATTAAATGATTTATGAAATATATTGTTTGTTAAAAAGATACACCTCACTGTTTGTCACAAATGCATCCCCTATTTTTATTGGTCCTTCTTTCATCTTTCTTTAGCACATAAGTTAACTTAATAACTATCTTTGCAAATGTAAACAGACAGATATGCAGGGAGATGCAGAACCTAAAATGGAACTCTCTACATTGTACCTGCTTACACAACTCTGACCAGACATTCTGCCTGTTCTGTCTGTAGGTATTAGACTAAAGCCAGTTCTTTAACAAGCTTATGGTGGAGCATACAGGACAGAGCAGTGGCTAAGGAGAAGCCCCCCCTTTGTGCCAGTAGACTAGGAGACAGACATGTCTATAGACAAACATGTTCATCATTGATTAGCTGCCATCAGCCCCACTGCTGCTGGCTGATGAGTCTGCGGCAAGCAGCCCCCGATAGTCATGATACAGTACTCTACAAACAGTCTAGCCAAGCTGAGAGAGAAGGAAAGAAAAACAGGAAGAGGGAAAAAGGGAAGGAAAGAGAAAGCTTAAAAGGCCAGAAAAAATGCAAGTTTCCTAATTCAGTGTAAAAATAAGAACAGGACTTAATATTTTAATTCATACCATCTGATACTCTGAGAGAGGAAGTGTATAATTAAATTAGGTTCCTGCCTCTCCTGGCTCAAACTGGAGTTGTTTTACAACAAGCCATTGTGTATTACAGGAAAAAAAGGTTTAGTTGAATGCATCAACCACAGCATTCCCTTTAAAAGCCGCGTTCCATTTCATTATGTGTCATTATATTCTGTCTCAATTTTCAAAGCCCAATTAAAATCTCACTAAGCTATTCAAACCTTTCACTCTCACAATATGTTCAATTCTATTCTTTCAACCTGTTCCTTCCTCTCTTTTAACCCACAGACATGAATAAAATTCCCATTATAGAATAAACGTTAGCCCTGTTTCAGGCTATAGAAGCTGCAGGCTTACATTCAGTAATTTTGCTTAGATGTGCAGATAAAATATTTAAAATATATTATAACAGGAAAACTTTGAACCCCAGCACTTTTGTGACTTATTTCTGAAGACTTCCTGAATTATCTGGGTTTTCTCCACTTCTCAGTCCAGCTTTTTTTCATCCCCTCACTAAATTTCTAAAATACATTTGTCCAGATGATACTTATATCTCTTCATCTCCTTCTCTGCCTAGTAAAAACCCTCCTCCCATCACTAAGGGTGTTTATTTGTTGGGTATTGATCCGTGCCTGTGTGGCTTGGATCCATCTAACCCCTACCACACCTCAGCTGGGTTCACGCCAGATGGCACCAACCAAGCCCATGGTGACTTTCTGCCAAGGAAAGGTCTGTTTAGCTCCTGATGCCAGCTGTAAAACTGGTTACCAGTTCTTGGCAGGGCTTTGAAACCAGCTGTAATTAATTGGAGTCAGTCAAGTGGTCTCCAGAAAAACAAACTGTTCTGACCAAGAGTCTCAAAGTGAGACCAAGAAGTGTTTTTATTCTTCCTTTGAAATGCAATATAACCTGTAAAGCTGAATAAACAGGTATTGCTGGAAATTGCTGCATAGAAGCTCAATGCAGTCTCATTATACCATCTAGTTTATGCTTCCTGATCTGGAGGTGTAGGCAAAAACTCTTTTACATTTATAGAAACAGAAAAACTGTGCTGCATTGCATTCTCAAGAGCCATTGTACATACGGTATATATACCCATTTTTAAATGTCTTATAAGTCTTATTTCAAAAAGATTTCAGTGTCGTAACTCATGATTGCTTGTGTCATTAGTCACGGGCAAAAGTCTAACTTTTGTTTTATGTACTGATTTACCACAGAGCATCCGATCTGCCCAAGTTAGCTTTTTGGTCGGTAAACAACTGGAAAAGAGAAAGATTCATAGTTATTGCTTTAGAGGCTTGACCCTTTAAACCCTTTAATTTAAGATTAATCCCTCAGGGCAGTCTTCAAGTAAACCATTTCTGCTGTAGATTGAAATTAAGATGCTATGGCATTTGTAAACCAAACCTAGCTGAACTGGATTTTTTTTTTCATTTTCTTTCTCAAACATATTTCCAAGACCGAACTTACTAAATAAGTACTGTAAAACATATAAGGAAAGGTTAAGTATTGAGCCTTGTGACTTTAATCTGCATTGGTGTTAAGGTTTGGATCTGCTTTTAAACTGAATGTGTTATGAGTGATTGTTACAACCCCAGGTGTCTAGGGGTAAAGGGGTGTAACATTTAGGATAATTCTTTTGGAAGCAGGTGGGTTCTGGTGAGGGACTAGGAAGCGTGATAACAAAGGTGGGTGCAAAAGTGATGATTTTAAGTTGAATAAGTGACTGTTATCGTGGTAAGACAAGATAACACACGGGTAAGGAACTAGAGTGGTGCCAAAGAAAAGAAGATAACAAACAAAATGGAGCTGGCTAGGAAAGTGAGGGAAAGCTAACCTGACTACAAAAGAAAACCCAAAACACACAGTCTTCGGCGTCTTCAACACCCTAGCTAACCTCCACTGACTACCCAAAACCATACAAGACAAATGGCACCCACCCGTACTAAACTAGTGTGACGTATACAAAGTCAACTAAGTGTGTAGAATGTACCCAACAACCTAAACTAACCTTAGACACAAAAGTTCACACAAAAACACAAGTGAATTAGGAATACAAATAAAGGAAAACAAGAGTAATCAACAGGAACAGGGTACAAATGAACACAAAAGTTGACTATATAATGTGTTAGGGCAAGGTATTGGCAAAACAAGGATAAACACAATCAAACGAAAGTACAAAAAAACGAACAGAAACCAACAAAACAACAAAGCCGAAGCTATATGAAAATATACACACACAAACCAAAACAACAAACCAACAAAGCTGAAGCAAAAGCCAAACGAAGTGATAACCAAAGCGAAATGAAGCAAAGCAAAACCAAACAGGACCAAAGTCAAGCAAAAGGCCTCCCTTCCTGAAAACCTCCATGTTATATAGTGAATAAGATGCAGTCTGATTGGCTGAGAGGCTGATTGATTATGACATCATATGGAACAGTGGTGTAATGGTGGGCGAATGGGGAAGGGAGAACCATCAAAGGTCAGCAGTGTGGAACATAACAAAAGAAACACACACAGATCACACACTGGGACATAACAGTGATCAAGTGTAAGAATGGTTACAAACTAGTCAATATTCTTGCTTGGTTGCTAGCAAGACACTGATTCACGACCATCATCAAGATTCGTCTCAAGGAATCGTAGTGAATCCCAGTTTCCATGTCATGGTTTGAAACTTTTCATCCAAATGCCTTCAGCTCTTTACTCTGTGTCTGAAATGGTTTCTCTCTCCCTGTCCTACAGAGCAGATTATAGAGAAGGACGAGGGGCCATACTACACCCACCTGGGATCTGGGCCTAATGTGGCCTCCATTCGTGAGCTGATGGAAAGCAGGTGAGAGAGCAGAAGGATGGTAAAAGAGCTATGAAGGAAATGAGGCCATTCTGCCCATCATATTATAGTAGTAGGTTTATAAAAACAACAATGGAGAGTTTATAACAATATATTACAATTTAACAATATTTAAAGAAGTGGCTTATTGTTTTTGCATAAATGACACATAATTATCAGCATATGTCCTTGCAGTATGATGATACATGTGACACTGAGTAAGAATTAATTGTAGTTTGCAATCCTGGGATTTTAACACCTTTGCACAGAAGTCAGGGGGTGGAATAAGAATCACTCATATTAAAAACAATAAGAGTCTATTAGCCCATTTGATCATGGCTAATGGATCTAAGGGATTTGGACAAAGGAGTTTGTGTAAAGAACCTCTCAGCCATATCCCAAGACCTGTCACTGAGTTCCTGCAGATGTGCTTTTTACATTTGCTGCTCATAATCATGCATTGTTTCCATTCGTAAATTCAAATATGTCACTTCTTTAATCTTGTACGAAAAACACTGTGGCAGTGCTTAAAGAGGCAAATGTGGTTCTTCGGGCTTGTAAACTGAGATAATGCAGACAAAGCAAAGGAGCACACTGTGCTCCAGTCTCCAGGGAATTAATGACCCAGAATTGCATTGAGTAAAGAACAACAACATCAGCACAAATGTGTTCAAAGTGAGAAGGCAGATATCAGCCTCTAAGTAGAGCTACGGAACACCAGTGTGATGGGAGTAGAAGAGAACAACACATTTTAATTTCTGATGCCCCTGGCCCATTTGTGCTTGACTTAAATTGATGACATTTTTGGTGGAGTTATTGTTTTCATTATGCTTTGTTGACAAATTCAAAATAATTATTGATTTTAAGGCAGTTTCATTATGTCTGAAAGCCAATGCAACTTTTAATAGAAAATGACTGAACGCAATATAGCAACATTTCACCAGTTAAATATATAGAACTACGGATTGTTCACAATTTAATGGGATTGTGATTTGCACAACATAAGAATGGGGTAATGTCAAAAGGTCATCTTTTTTAACAAGCTGCTAGTGGGAGGGATGATTTTCTGTGAGGGATCTTTTATTCTTTTAATTGTGTAAAAGTGACGTAATGACAAAACCTTTTGCTGGCCTTTGCATGACCTGCAAATAACCTATAACCTAAAGGGTCAATCTCTGCTGCTAGAGGCTTGGCGCTCTGTCCAGCATGGTCCACTCTCCAATTAAATTGACAGATAAGGACACGGACATTATTGATAAACTGTCAAAAGCTTAATGAACTGTAAAAATACATTTTTGTTTAATCTTATCTCAGTCATGGACTCAACTGCTGTATCCATCATTAAAAGCAATTAGAGATAAGCAAAATGATGCATCTCAAAGCACCATGGCATGTTGTAAAAACGATCACACAAAATAATACTTTCTTACACAGGCAGTGTTTGTTTAAAAATAAATTAGGAGAAAAACAACTGTGCAATCTGAAATGCTTTTTCAACTCGCTCATTTTACTGCTACAATACAAAGAGACCGGTAATGCTAGATCAACATAAGTAGATCTCTTTGTCAGGATTGCTAGAAGGGGACCTGTATTTGCCTACAAATGCTGATAATCTTTCTTTTGCTTTGTATCAATACAGTGGGGAGAATTTTAATGTATAAATCATATACCGTATTTGTGTAATCAGTAAAGGTTAGTGAAAAGGTTTTGGGGGATCTCAATTATAGAACACGTAAGGTATATAATCCTCCAGAGACACCTTCTAGCAACTTGCTATTCCCTTTTAAAAAGGGAATGAAAAGCATTCCCTTTTACGAGTATTGCTGATCTTTTCCGAGGAAAAAACAATCAAAAATCCACCCAGAGAACCCCATCCCATCATATTGAAAAGGTGTTTACACTATGCCAGGTGGAGCAATACTGCTGGATGAGCTGTTAACTCACAAGTACTCCCCTCCCCCTATCCCACAAAGCATGCTGCCTGAATTTAAAGTGACTGTTTGCAGATGGGAGGCAAGATGACTGACAAAAGGCTGCAAGTACCCAGTCACCCACAAATATTGGCAGGGGCATGGGAACAGGCCACTGTCTGCCAGCACTAGGTCAAGAAGGGTGTGTGGGTGTGGGTATGGTAGCAGATTTTTAGGGAGGAGTTGATTAGTGGCTTGTAAATTCCTAACTTATTAGATCTGCATGTTTATATAACTTCACACTGCTAAGTTGAGAGGACCTATCCCAAGTCATCAAATGAATTCTGTAATCCCTTGATCAACTGCCTCATTTAGCTGTCTGCATTATTACAGGAAGGATAAAAGGGGTCAGTGCTGTTTTCTGACCTGTAGGCCCAAAACTAAAATATTTTATTCAGTAGTTTATTAAACACTAATGTATTTATTCTGGGAACTTTAGTCTTGCAAATATCTAATGTTAATGGTACCTACTTCCAATAGTATGTTTAAAACTCTCTTCTAGTGCTTTCTTGAAGGATTAATAACATAAAAAAAGACTTAACCTTGAAGAGCCTGTTTCTAAAAGAGCAGATTTTTAGGTGTGGTGCAAAAGTGAAATTCCTACACTTACTCAAGTTTACATAGTAATGCAAACCTATGATAGTCTCTTCAGATATTAGGTAATATAACACCACAAATTGTAAACTGATAATGCTGGCAAGGTTCATAATAAAATATTTTTGAATCTCGTGATATTAAGGTAATATGGGAAATTGTTATTTTTATATTTGGCACTGGTGCTTAGGGGCTTTCTGGTGATTCGTAGTTTAACTTTACCTCAGAAACATATCTCAGTGTTGTAGAAGATAGTTTTTCTCATTCAGTTTTAATGATCTCAGATGAAAATGTGTCACTTCTGCATTTACAGAATATATCTCTAAGATCTCTAATGATTGTTTTTTATCCAGGATTTAAAAAATACATGCTTAGACTCACACATTTCACTCAGAGTTTGCTGTCTACAAGTATAGCTTAACACCATTGTAATTCCTCCCTGTGATGGTCTGTGTACAGTAGTTGCTTTTTCAGTGAGTCTGTTAGTTGAGTCCTGCACTGATCCTTAGTGGTTACAAGATTTTAAGTTTCTATTCATTCATTTTGTGACTGCTAGTCTTTTTTGGTTTTAATTGTAAGGGACCCTGGAGCCCTTATGCCTTTTTCTTAATGGGGATACTTATGACACTATTGAAAATCAAATAATAGCAAATATTCCACTTCTAATTTAAGTTGTTCTCATGTTTTCTCAGGGTGTACTCCAGGCCATACCTCTATAAGTTCACTCCCTCCTTGTCATATTTGGAAGAAGTTATTTATGACAGTTACTAGCTGGCATTAAGGTGTTGATTCAAGACTGGCATAATTCCTGATGCTAGATTTCTCAGGGCAACAGAGAACATGACTTCTGGTTTCTGTGCAGCTGTACAAAGTGAATGACAGGATATACTGCTCTGATCAAGGGTGTTATTTGTGATGAAAGGCACTGGGGAGAATTAGGTCTTGTGCTGCTGTGTTACCAGGTATGGGGAGAAGGGTGAAGCAATCCGCATTGAGAAGGTGATCTACACGGGCAAGGAAGGCAAAAGCTCTCAGGGATGTCCCATCGCCAAATGGGTAAGTGTCACCTTGTTTGTGGATCTCTTATTCAGATGTCTGCCATACTAGTACTGCACATCCACAGTCCTACTGGTAATAACAAAGTGTAATCGGTACGTTTTGCTAACACAAATTGTCAGATGGCTTGCCTTAAAATTGCAGAACAATAGCGCGCATAGGTCAAAACCTATTAATTATTAAAGACAAACGAAAAACGTAAGCTGCAGAAGCTTAAAACAAAAAACGCTGATCATTGTTTATATAATGGAAACCACATTGTGTTTCTGTAGGACAGAACTCAATGTTTCGTTAATCATTGCAGAGAAAATTTAACATACTTTTCAGTGCGTAAGATTTGAGCCTACGTAAGCCGACGTAAGATTTGAGCCTTAGAACTATATCTTATTGTAAATGTTTGGTAAGTTTTATTCTTTCAAGGCTTATTGTTATGACTTGATAGAAGAGTATTAAGTTTGAACTGGATACATACTCATTTCAGTGTAAATCTAAACCCCTTCTAGCCAGATTTTTTGCATTATTTTTTTAAATAATAGTGGAAGTCTCTTCTGTGTTTGAAAGAGTGATATTAGTCAACATTACAAAATAATTTAGGAACAGTCTTTATGACACTATGAACATATTGTACTATAAGTAGGTCTGAATTAAAGATGCTCACTTACATAAAAGAGATTTTAAAAATAATTTTGCAGCCTAGTTCTTGTTTTTGACTCTTTTGAAAATCATGTTTTTCATAACTTAACTTTTCAAGTTAAGTTACTGGTTGACATATTTCCAGTTAATGTACACCTTATTACTAAGACTAATTAGTACTAATTAGAAGTATTGAGCTGTACATTATTTTTATTTAAATTAAGACCTTACATTTATCAAGCCAAGAAGCATAGAATGCTTTAGTCTATTACATGTTATTTGTTTTCCAAATGCCAGTTTTGGAAAATGTGGGAGCAGTGGCAGATCAGGGCTATATGAAATTGCTGGGGTTTCTACTCTCACTGCAAATTATGTTCCACACTTAAACTGGAGCATATTTCATTCATATGTTTTCAGTGAATCACCTGTAAAACTGCTACAGACTGATCCCCGCAGTTGGCATTGTGTTGCTTAGCAACATCCAAAAGCCATCACTGCTACTAAATATAAGTTAAAAATAGGATGGATTAACTACAAATAATTCGGGGCGGTGAGGAGGTGGGCAGATGCTAAGACTGAGCCATACAAACAAAAAGTGGTTTGGACATGTAATGAGTTGTACATGTTGGTTGCCATTATTCCAACAATCTAAGGCTCACTTATTCATGTCTGACGGTTGGAAAACACTGATTTAGTGAGCAAGACTGCTTGCAATATTGAGAATATTTCTGATCTTTCTCATCCTCTGAATAACCAATGGCCAAGCATGCATAACAGTCTGAGAATATATTTCTTTGTCTCATTACCAATCTGGGCATGAAACTTTGTGACAATTTTGTTAGCTTATAATTGATGAGTGTTGATAAGATAATTGAAAATTATTACAGTAATTTAGAAATTACTCGTAGCCAGTATGGTTAATAATATATCTGCTCTGTAGAAAATTAACTTTCAAACGAAGGCTCGAATGAAGGTATTACATATAAGTATCACACTTCTACATTACTCACTTCCACATTCAACTCTCCAACCCATCTTCACTGCTGCTGCGGCTTCCTGGCTCATTCCTCTTCTCGCAGAGTCATTCTCAGCAAGGCTAATTACATACCATTTCATATCTTACCTTAAATTAGGGATTGTCTGAACCCTGGAGACCTGGTTAGTCATTTATACTAAGTGAGCAAATCAGTGGAGAAACATAAAATATAGACAGTCTCCAACTGCAGACCTTTTCTGCAAAATTTGTATAAGTCGTTACTCTTATATGTTAATATAATCAACATTTAAGGAAAAAGAGAAGAGAAATTTAACAGACAGGTTTAGAGTTTGATGATATGTACAGCCCCATGAAAAATGTCTTGTTACAGTACATTCGGTCCATAAATATTTTAAAATACCTAACATTAAAAAATATAGAAACCTGCTGAAGTGGAATTTTATGTAAAAAACATTTTACGAAATAAATAATTTCACATTGAACTTCATATACCTCAATTCCTGTTTTGAGCTTGCATACATGAATAGGTGATGGTGCTGGTGAGATGCTGAATTTCTTATTAGATGAGTAAGGGTAGGACGGTTCTGGAGAAGGGGCAACACGTATGTAAATTAACAGCAGAGCAATGCACACAATACCATGAGGTGGAACACACTGACAAGCCCACACTGGAAGACTATAAAACACACGGCACATCAGCTTTTTTCCTACATGAATAGGTCACACTCGCTTACACTACGCAAATTGTGAATTGAAACTTCCGCATTTCAGATAAATTTAATTCATGAGACTTTTTAAATAAGGTCAGATTGACATCAGCCAAGTATACTTAACCCCAAGGACTGTCAGTATACCCAGTTGCAATTCAGAATATATCAGGCCGTGGTATAAAAACCATATGCTCAGAAGGATTTCTATAATGCTTCAGTGCAAATCCCAAAGAAATGCATTGTAGCCTTCTAAGCCACAAAAGATGCATTCCTCAAGAACAAGAAACTGAGGTGTTTATACTGATACATTCTGATACAGTTTCTGTGGATGCCCTAAAACATCTGTGCAGAAACACTGTAGGCGGCAGGCATCATTGGGTAAAAGCTGTGTCATAAATCTACAGGTAACACTATTCCACTGCCATAAACATAATCTCAGATCCTTCCTCCTTGTTTGTTACATCTTGCTTAGCTACCTCTGACTAGGTTTAGGTGCAAATAAGTAATGTATTATAATTGGTAAACATGATATACAAATGAATTGTATTGATAGCTAATTAGATTAATTTGTGTAGAATATAATTGTTGATGGAGGCTTACCAAACCACCAAGGTGTGTTCTCAGCCATAGTTCATATAGAATGTTAAAAACCGGACTTTGTGGTTCTGCAAGACTAGGGCTGCAGAATTATGCTGGAACTGGTAGTCTGAATGACACATGACCAGGTTCTGTCATGACTGAATTGTGCTGGGCCACAATGCCTAACAAAAGCAGGTTACTGATAAACACAGTAATGGTTCTGAGGCTGATCAGTAAAACACCTTATGACTGAATGACTTATTGATTTTGCCATAGCTATAGAAGCAGACCTTATGCATCAATGATTACCTGATATACATCTACGGTAATGATGTGGAAAGATCTTAGAATTAAATGACTGTTCTGTGACATCAGTACTTGTGTCAGGTGACAGATTGACAATATTGTGCATTGGGGATTCAGGTGATCCGGCGTGCCAGCGAGGCGGAGAAGCTCCTGTGCTTGGTGCGGAAGCGGGCAGGCCACCATTGTGCCCATGCCGTCGTCATCATCCTCATCCTGGCCTGGGAGGGTGTGCCCCGCGAGCTGGGAGACAAGCTATACCACGAGATCAGCGAGACTCTCACCAAGTACGGCAACCCTACCAGCCGGCGCTGCGGACTCAATGATGAGTGAGTAACAACCTCGCCCCAGAAATCAAAAAAAGATGTGGTAACCTGAAACACAATTGAAATCACGGCAGAGCACAGCAAGGCGCGTGAGCTTGAGAAAGCCATATGAACTATGAAAATAAATGAAGGTAATCTTTCATAAGGACACCCAAAGATTCAATAATCAACTCTTCCTGCATCTGTAAATAAACTGCGAAAGAGATTCATCTAGTGTCAGATTTGGACAAAAAGCATACCAGATGGACAATTAAAGGTAATCCACTTTTAATTTAATCCTGTCATCAAATCAGGTAAGGAAGTGACAGACCCAAACCCACAGAAACTCTTAATAGGAGTTGTTGTCACAGCTGGACATCCTCCACATCCTAATCTAAAAGACAAGGATGGACTGAAAAAGGCCAGTAAACAACATTTTTTCTTAAATCTAACAGGATTGATAGTGCTGTGTCCTGTTGAGTGCCTTAACTAGTAAAGGCACTTTCTCAACCACAGGTTGAGGTCTATGATCATGGGAACAGGCCAGGCTCACAACACCAGCCAGCTGTGACTGGAGTTTACCAAATCTCGGCATACAATTGGCTGAGGTTCACCAAGGGTAGGATGAGATTAGCTGGCCAAGGATATCCTGGTTATCAGCAACACAACAACCCCTTTGATCTGTGTGTGTACTTGTGGGCATCTGGTAAGGGATGAGGCACTTCTTTGTTTGGCACTGAACCTCTGGTACTGATGTTTAGTGCCTGTGACATGTTCTCTAAGATAAGTGACTCAAAGATGGGAGGTACAAAATAGGCTGCCACTCCCTCATTGTCCCTAGTGTGTGATTGTGGGTTTTGTAGCTGCAAGCTGAGATGTGAAAAACCCACACGACTGACGATAACAAAGATGGGTAGAACAAAAAAACAGCTGTAAATTCTCATTTTAAAAATGCTAATGTCGTATAGCCTACTCTTAAAACTCTATGTTGGTTTGTGTTCAGTTTTTATTTTTTGTATGTTTCAAGCCCATTAACAAGACCACCACACAGAACTACTGTGTTAAAGGAAGGTTCCACCAACCTGGTATCTTAAACAAGGGCACTTTCTAATTTAATTTCTGCAGTGGAGAGTGTATTCTTTAACTTAGCATATAATGTGTCCTGACTGTATTGCTGTATGAATGAAAAGGGGCTAATACATCATTAGAAACATCATAATTTATTAGTTATTTTTAGTTCTGGTGAATGCCTATATGCACACAACCCTCTCTGTAACCAATAACCTAACAATTAAAAGTGGAATCTGAATGCCAAGTGTTTGTCTCTGATCCGCTTTGCCTTCATTTTTCCTTCCAGCCGCACCTGTGCCTGCCAGGGAAAGGATCCGGAGACCTGTGGAGCTTCCTTCTCCTTTGGGTGCTCCTGGAGTATGTACTTCAATGGGTGCAAATATGCACGAAGCAAGACCCCACGCAAATTCAGATTGCAAGGAGACAACCCCAAGGAGGTCAGTCCTGCCAGGGGAGCTATGAGGGTGTAGAATGAGGGATGCATGATGACCTTAAAACAATGCCATTGTTGTTCAGTGCAACCATAATTAGTGCCAGATGTTCCACTGCTATTGACAATAGCATTGTCTTGATTTCCACCAAAAGCTTCTTATCCAGAATTGTAACATTTGAACAGCACCGACAATAGAACTCAGACTGAGTGAAATGGTTCATTGGCTCTCCTAACATTTAGTTAGAAAAGCCACAACCATGCCCTACCTGATCCTTTTAGAATAACACTGTGTTGTTCATTGTATTTCAGGAGGAGAATCTCAGGGATCATTTCCAGGACTTGGCCACAAAGGTTGCTCCCCTTTACAAAAGGCTCGCCCCCCAGGCTTACAGCAACCAGGTAAAGTAAATCAGCCCTAACACACAGTACAGAGCTGTGCAGGAACTCAGGAAAGGGGTCTTCTTGGTTTGAAAATACCAAATTAAAGATACAGGTACACTGGAAATTGATGTTGTAGCCAATTACTAACCTGCCCTCTGCCCACTAAACTTTGTGCAGATATCTTATGATGCAAGGGAAAAGCCCTGAATGCAAGTGGAATCCCTGTGGTTTAGAGTACAGTGTGGGGCAGTGCTATTTTAATGAATGAATAGGGTAATCATGCATGTGTAGGAGAGGCTTTTCTTCAAGATTAGGATAGCCTGGCTGTTTCTGTTAATAATTACCTACACCTCCATGCCTGAGACTGTGAAGAAATTTGCTGTGGGTCACTGTGCTTCTGCAGCAGGTCAGTGGGTGTCTGGTTACCATTCAGTTAAACTTAAGGCCCTGTTTGCTGACTCAGGACTGTTTTGTGTCAAGCTGTGACCAGAATTGCATTGTTCTCAGGAGCACAGCCATAGGATAATTATAAAATTATTGAAGATCTTCTGACTCTTAATTTAGGTTGACCTGGTGACAAAAAGTCATTCCTTGTTAAAAACTTAAATTGATTGATGGAAAAAACATTTTTAATGAGAATATGGTATTTGTATGTTGTATATGGTGGTGGTTTGAAAGGTTTTTGAGAAGGAAACATTGTACCTAACGACTTTTCCAAATTAAAAAAGATGACAAAATAAGTCTTTGTTGGTTTGTTTCTGCCCAGACTGCCACAGAAAAGTCAGCCCCAGATTGCCGGCTGGGTCTGAAGGAAGGCCGCCCATTCTCAGGGGTCACCGCCTGCATGGATTTCTGTGCCCACGCCCACAAGGACCAGCACAACCTATACAATGGCTGCACTGTGGTATGTCCACCTCTTCCCACTCGTTCTTCAGAAACATCCAGGCATTCTGGAATACCCATTCATCTGTAGACTCAACCACAACCTCACTTGACAAACAAATGTTGGGAACATACAGTAGCATAGCCTTTGGGCTGCTAACTTCATGTTGTGGGTTCAGATCCCCTCTGCATCCGGCTAGCAGAGTAATTCCTGGAATAGATTCCATCCTGGGGGGGGGGTCATGTGCTTTGTAGTCTGTTTAACGCTACATAAACCTTAGTGAGACCTGACCTAATGAACCACTCAGACTGTGCTATGGACTTTACCTACATTACATTACGTATCAGTGGCTGAGCATCTTAGGATGTCACTGCCGGTGTCTTAAGTGTTTCAGTATGTTGGTGTCAATGTGTCTCTGTATATCTCTGTATCAGTGCCGGCTGACTCTATCTGTCTATGCAGGTGTGCACTCTGACAAAGGAAGATAACCGCACTGTAGGCCAGATCCCTGAAGACGAGCAGCTCCATGTGCTCCCACTCTATAAGGTCTCCTTGACTGATGAGTTTGGCAGCGAGGAACGCCAGCGCCAGAAGATAGAGTCTGGTGCAATCCAGGTGCTCACCAACTTCCGTCGTGAAGTGCGCAAGTTGCCCGAGCCTGCCAAATCATGTCGACAGCGCAAATTGGAGGCCAAGAAAGCTGCGTCTGAGAAGAAGAAAGGTCAGAAACAGCTGGAAACACCAGAGAAGATCATGAAGACGGAGCTAAGCCACATGGGGCCCCCTACACAGCAGCACTGTAACAAAGGTATGCCCTTCTTTATTCTCCTTCTAATGATAATGATTTCTATTGTTATTACTAATTGGACTTGTAACTTTACACAGGGCAACTTGAAAGGACTGCAGTAATCAAGAGGAAAAACATAGAAGTACGAGTTACATTGTGCAGCAAAAAAGTGTTCTCTTTTCCATCGTTATCTGGAAATGTGAGGCATTTCTTTCACATTTCACTTGTTAGTTCATCTAGCATTTTATTGTCTTTGAACCTTTTAGGCCCCAGGACTATACAGTAGATTTCTGTGTGTGTCTGTGTCAATACTGAGGGCTGTTTCATTATCCCACTCTCTTCACTTGCACAGGAATCCCAAAACAGGAAGTGAAGCCCACCATCAAGATGGAGCCCAAGGAAAATTTTAAGTCATACAATGGGAACAGCAATGGTGTCCTGGAGAGCTATTCTGTCCTTGGCAACTGCCGCCCCTCTGACCCTTACAGCATGAACAGTGTCTATTCCTACCCCTCATACTATGCAAGGAATGGCCTCCCTGCCACCTCTCCCAATGGCTTCCACCCCAACCTCCCAGTGCCCTACAGCTTATATAACTACCCACCCAACCACATCTTTCCACCACAGTTCCTAAACTACGATGGCCACAGTGGTAGCTGGCCTAAAGCCACCATTTATGAGAAGAAGCCGGATGTCCAGACACTGCAGGCCAGCCTTGGGAAATCATCATTCCCAGACTACCCAGAGCAATCCCAAGGGGTCACCCCCTCAAAAACCGGTTATCCCCTCCATTCCCTGGTCCCTGCATCTCCAGAGTTTGCCCAGCCCCTGGTCCCACCACACCGAAATCACCAGGCCCCTGAAGGTGCCCGGCGGAGTTTTCCAAGCCCTCTGACCAAAATGATCAAGCAGGAGCCAATCGATAGCCCTCAGTACACAGACTGTGGTGGAGCAGCGGGAGGGGATGCAAATCCTCCTGCCAGGGATGACATAACCCATGGATCAATACAGGGTCCCAGCCCAGGCCCACAGCACGAGCAATGGCCTGGATACAAGATGAATGGGAATCTAGGATCAGAGTCCTGGGATAGCAATCGTAAAGTCTCCACTCCACATGATGGTAGGAAATCCTGGGCTTCATCCCCCTCCTCTTTTGCTCCCAGCCCTGCAGAAACTCGGAATGTATTGGAGAAGCCACACCAACACCAACAGCAGCAACAGTGGAGCTCATTTTCGGGTGCAACCACTCCTCTCCCCTCTCCCTCTCCCTCCCCTTCCCCATCCCTCCCTTTGACACCTTCCCCTGCTCCTTCTTGCTCTCCTCATGTCCCTAATACCAGCTGGGGCACCTTTGGCAGTCCTGGTGAAGGTTGTTGCCCATCCCCTAACCCACAAGGAAAATCCTGGAACTCAAATGGATACAATGCAAACTTAAAGAGGGCCACACCTGTAGGGGGGTTCCCAGATAAGCTGTGGTGCAAAGATGGAGAGGGCAGAGGATCTACACCTTTGGGGCTACAGGAGAAAGCATGGAAGTCTTGTGGAGGCTCTGCAGCTGCCAGTACCCTTACACCAACCCCTGTGCCCACCCCAGAGGGCAGGCTGTACCCAGATGCTTTCCAAGCATCAGATATTACCAACAATAAAATGTTCTGGGACCCATATGGGCTAGAGGGTGAGGAGAAGATGGAGCAGCAATCGCAGGTGAAGGAAGAAGAGGAGGTATGGTCTGATAGTGAGCACAACTTCCTAGATCCCAACATCGGGGGGGTGGCAGTGGCTCCGGCACACGGGTCAATCCTCATTGAGTGTGCCCGCCGCGAGCTGCATGCTACCACGCCACTCAAGAAACCCAACCGCTGCCACCCGACTCGCATCTCCCTGGTTTTCTACCAGCACAAGAACCTCAACCAGCCCTGCCATGGCCTGGCACTGTGGGAGGCCAAGATGAAGCTGTTGGCAGAGCGGGCACGGCAACGACAAGAGGAGGCAGCCCGGCTAGGGCTGCCACAGGAGGACATCAAGGCCTATGGCAAGAAGCGCAAGTGGGGAGCGGCAGGCAGCAACAGCTCGGCAGCTTCAGGAAACAGTGCATCTGGACAGAGCCAGAGCAAGGACAAGAAAGAAGGCATTCATACGCGGCATGCGCCCACACCACACACAAACTCTCTTGTCACTGTTTCACCATACGCACACACCCAGCTCACTGGGCCCTACAGCCGCTGGGTGTGAGAGACTCCCCGTGCAAGGGGATCAAAAGGACGGGAAGTTTTTTTGGTGCTGGGGTGGCCAAGAAGAGAAGGAAAATCTTTCTCTCCTTCCTAGTTGGTTCTGCTTTGGAGTTTTTAAAGTTTTTTTTCATTTTTTTACCTCAAATTCTGCAGCAGTGCAGTCACTCCCTGTCACAGGGTGTTCCTGCAAACAGGCTGCTCGTGGTGCTCTCCCTCTCTCTATTGTCAGAGGGATTACATTGTTTCTTTCCCTTCTTACTATAATGATCCCTACTATTATTATTGTTGTTGGTGGTGTTATTACTGGTATTGTTATTATTATGACATTGATGATTTCTATTATTATTATTTGATTATTAATATTATTTTAATGTTATGATTTTTTTGGGACGGGGGCACAGATGGAATACGACCCCTCTTGCAGTCCTGCTCACTCCTGCCCCCAAATCACAAATAGTGCAGAACAACATTTTTCATTCATTCTTTTTGCGAGAATATGTTTATAAGAAGGTTTGACCTGTAAACAGGGGGCAGGCCAGATTACAGAAGCGACAAAAAGGAAACAGAAAAAGCAAACAAGAACATCAAAGCGGAATACAACACCTTGGAAGTCTCCTATTTATAACCTTTTTATCCAGGAAAAATACCTGAAGAAGAAGAAAAAACGAAATAATTTTAAAACATAAGTTAAGAAGATAATAACAATGACTTTGTAGCTTCTTCTAATGTGAGAAGTTTCATAAAGTCTATTTTAATAGCTATTTATTTTAATTGTTTTTAAGTTGTTTTTTTATCAGTGACAAAATTATATTTAAGTCAATGATAAGCAAACAGAGAGAGCTCTTCTCCTCCCAAGTCATGGTCTTCACTGTTCTTAAAAAGAAGGAGGAGGTGCATTTCTCTGCATCAAAAAGAAAACAATGTCTTGTTCTGTATCTTGGGCCCTCAGACACCACCTGTATCAATGCACAGTGATGCCCCTTTTTAGTGAAATCTCTGACTCTTTAAACAAAAGACCTCTGACAGCTCTCTGTAGACACACTTGAACATTGCTCACACTATCATGATTACTCAGCTGCTTTTTCGTTATTTCATTGGTGCTTCAGACTTACCTAAATAATGGGGTGCCTCATGTTTGCCTTTTACCATTTTCCCTGCATCTTGCTCAGCACGCAGTGCCACCTGCAGTAATCTGAATTAGTTCAGGACTTAAAAACCCCTTTACGAGACTGCTGGCTTTCTCCATCCTTTTCAATAGGCCCTTGCTAAAAATTTGGCCATGCATAATGTTAACTGGTGTTTCTTAGCCTTGGTTCAAGAAAATGATGTTATCTATCAGTCCAGGTTGGCTTGATTGCCCTCCAACTCCTTACAGTACTGTTAGATAATGACAGATAGACATTTACTCCACACCCTTGTGAATTGGTGCTGAGAAAAGTCCCATGGTACTGTTCTCTCTCTCTCTCTCTCTCTCTCAGAATATAATTGAGCCTGACTACGAGTGTGACTTTGAGAGTGCCTTGCACTGATATTTTCATTCTCCTGTCAGAGCACAAACACAAGACCACCAAAGAAGTAAAGACCTTATTAGAAATGAGAAACCCATGCCTTACTGTTCTAGCAGTCAGGGGTGGACAGAAGGGAACAATGCCTTCCATTGCTTTACTGCAAGGAACATTTAGAAAACCGTCTCTTTAGAAAACGGCATGAATGCAAACAACCTGTCTGACCTATTAACTGCTTGTTTGTGACACGAGTGGTGCTGTATTGTTTTATGCAATGCTACAGGTACAGATCAGCGTGCCTTAAAAGTAGAAGAAACTGCGTGCTGTAGCAGTGAGGGAATTGGTTTGTGTGCTTGGCAGACAGAAACACTTCATTATTTCTTCTCTATTCAAATGCAACAGCCTTCTCTTCACACAGGTGCAAACTAATGGTGCCATTCTGACGTACTGTAGTCAATTAAACAAAAATGGTGCTTTTTCACATTTTACTGTCCATAATACAGGACCAGAGAGAACAGAGGATCACCAAGCTGTGTGTGCACAGAACATATGCAGTACACACACCAACTACCAGCGTTACAGATGAAAAATTTTGTGTAGCTGCCTCACATAACAGCTGCTGCAGTGAGCATTGATATACCAGATATTAGGTGTATTGATACTTACTGGAGCCATTTAAAATAACACCAAGAGAATAATATGGAAATCAAATCAAATAAATTATTTTATATGCAGTATACATCCAACAGCTCCAATGAGGATTTGAGACCCTAGTGATCTGAAATACTCTTTGGTGCCACTGTATTAAAAATAATGCTGAATGCTTTGTTTCCATGCGAACCAACCTGCAGAAACAGAACTAACCATAAATTCAACACTAGGGCTAAGTGCTTTTCACATTGCAAAAAGACATAAATCACCAGTGTCTCTAATGCTATGGTGCTGTTCCATGGGCTAGTACATTAATGCTGGCTTTCAAGGGTTGATAGAGGCAACACACAGTCACTAAACATTGCATCTGGCTCCCATATAGTTCTGTAGATATATTTTCTGATTTCACACCTGCACAGTGTCCGTGCATGCAATTCTCTGTGATGTTACAAAATACCAGGGTCCTGATTTAAGACTTGTCCAGACTCGGACTTAGTACAATTGGTTCCCAATGTCTAATACGGAGACACAGCATTAGAGGGGCAAAAGAAAAATGTTAATATAGTGAAACAACTGTGAGAACTGAGGTCATTCAATTTTATGTCTAAGCTGGAGTGAAAGAAAGGTTGTCAAAATATGTGAATGCTGCAGAGAGTTTTAACTCCAAATATGACCTAAGCAAAAGTTGAAATAATTTAGGTACTGGCACTTAATTGAAGTCCAAATGAATATTCATTACAGAGGCCTGTTACACCTCTACTTAACCCTTAATTGAGTTTTTATCAACATAATAGCATAGTATTTGGGTATTTACAATATCTTGGTCAGAATTCAGCTTCACAAGCAGCTGTCTTTACGAAATAGCAACATGTAACACATGCTTCATAGTCTGTCACTTAAATGACCACAGTGTAAAAGGTCAGGATAAAACTCAATACTACTACCAGTCTTCTGCAGAATGTTGACTGTGTATGTAATAAAACATCTCCTCTCTTATGTTTCTGTAAACAGACTTTTAAGTGTGCCAGATAGCTTTGCTTAGTATCTAAGATTGAGAGAACAAATGCCTGAGGGGTCAACCCCGATTCTAAGTTTTAACTGAATTCAATTCGATTTCTGTAGATGTGGTTGTGTAGAACACAATCATCCACGTCAACAGTGAACTGCAACTGCAGGCTGTGCTGTCTCTCTGCTTCTAAACCAGTTTCCTCCAGCTTTGATCAATTGAATGGGTTCTGGTAATATCCATTCTGTACTGTATGTTTATTGTATTTAAGTTAAAAGACTTTGGAAGTGTGTTTTCTTAGACATTCACGACTAAATATCAGTATATACAGCCTTTAAATTACTGTGGTGGGTTTTACATGTTTTCACCACTGAGGTACCAACTGCAACAGGGCTGAATGTGTGCAGTCCTGCAAAAAACCTTTACAACCTCTCCAATCCCCTTCACAATTCTAGTTCAATTGGGGTAATTTGGCTTCCTGTCCGGGGCATGGCCAAGCTCCCTACACCCCCTCCGTTCTACCTGAGTTGCCCTCCTCTGTTCCTGAACTGGGAAATGTCCCTAAGGGCAGGTGCTAAAATGGGTTCTTGTTCATCCCTGATGATGCTCCCACTTTCTACTCAACTGAGGCACAGAGGAAATGGGGCAAGGGTTGAAGAGCTGGGTCTTATCTCCCAGGCTGGACAGTTATAATCACATAGCCTTGGCCTTGGTATATCAGTGGCACTGCAGGCTAGGACAGGAAGTGTTGAGGGAGACATGCCTTTTTTTCAAATTAAAGTCACCCAGGAACCAAAGATCCCTTTTGTAAGAAGGGTCTGAGCCTCTGGTCCTAGAGAACCACAGTCCATCAGGTTTAATAGGCAGCTTAAAATGGTCAAAGGATGGAGCTCTTGGAAGCAAATTAACCTGTTCATTTATGCATTCAGACCTCAGCTGGAAGATACTGTGTCTCTCCCTAGCCAGGACCTCAGACCCCTGCATCTAAAAGTTATTTTGTTTTACCCTAGAGAACAGGAAGAGTTGTTTGGCTAGATAGATTCTAGTACTCAAGACTAGACTCAAGACTCAAGGGTTCAACATTGTCTCAATTTAAATCAGAGTCCCTTTTTTATCACACAGTTGTCACCTCTCCTCTTAAATGAGGAGCTGAAAATGTGTATCATCAATAAGTCCTATACAGTGATTTGTCTAATTGAACAATTCTTTTGAATAATTTCTTTTAAAAAATCCACTGTTTTCAAATTTACTGAAAGAAGTCCTGGTATAGTTTGGAAAGAGAGGTACATAAAACATTTATCCCAAGATTCACCCCTTCCACTGTCACTATTAACACTGCACTCCATTGTGCATTGCATTCCTTCTGGCCTGTTTTGTGTGGACACCGCTGGGGTAGGACTCCTCAGTTTGTAGTGCCCAAAACAGGCTCACTGCCCTAGCCTGAGCCTGCTATGCCACAGTTTGTTTACAGATGTGCAGATACAGCTGTGTTCATCCTTTACAGATACAGCATGGTGCTCTAATCTGATCTAGGTGCTTTCAAGGTGTCAAGCTTACTGTATCTCTTGTTTCTATCTTGTTAACACTGGCACAAAAGAAATGAAAAACAAAACAGGGGCTTTGGAAAATGAATACCCTGGGGATTTTTTTTACTGTGTTCTGGTCTACATTTTAGTTGTTTTTTATTATTGTTATTATTAATGTTTTGTTTCAATTTTGTTTTTTAATTGTAAATACTGAAAAAAAAGATTTTATAAAAGCACTTTTAAACTTGATTAATAAAAAAACAAGAAAACAGGAAATAACACAGGAAATAACAAAAAATGACAAATTAATGACGACTTGAAACTAATTTTTATTTAATGGAATATTATTGGAAGAGAAAAACAACAACTTGTAAATATTAACACAATATTATTTAGGGAAGAGGGTAATGTCTGTTTGTTCATGACTCCGGGAACGTGTATCTGAAATCCTACAGTGATTTTAAAAGAAATGAAGAGTGGTTTACCAATGTGTAAGCATATGTCAGTCTTTTTATTTGCATTCTCAAGACTATTTCAGGAAGAGTTGTTTCTCTTCCCTTTTCTTTTAATATGGCTGATAGCAAAGGACAAAGCCTTCCCTACCCAACCTTTATGTTCCTCTTTATAAGAAACAAACAGGTAAAGCCTGTTGGATTTCTAAAACCTGTCAGATTGTTTTATTTTAGAATGTCTTAGTTAAAGAATTCCCTTGAGGTATTTTCTAACTAAAAATATATAACAGTACATGCAATATTTTTTTTACACATAGCACCTGAGAGAAGCAGTTTAACAGTCTTTAGCTAGTACGCAGAAATACAAAGTATCCTTTTTTAGGTATAAGGTTTTAGGGGGAAACAAAACTGATAAAAGCTATCGAATTTTTATATAAATGCTCTAACTTTCTATAAAAAGTGTAGGCTGTGCCCTGTAGAAATCTTTGGTTTCTCACAAGATAAAAATATAACAATACACAATAGTATTGTGCAGTAAGGTAAATTTAAATTGCTTTTGGTATTGTCATTTCTGTTGGAATTTTTAACTTTCTCAAGAAAAGGCCAGTACTGTATTTGGAGGTAGTCTAAAAGGCTGAAATGAGTGAATACAACTGCAGACTCTTTTGACTCTAAGCTAGCTTAACCTAGTGACAATGCTTCATTGAATTGCTCACTGTTCAACATGAAAGAAAAGCCTCCTGTCCAACAGGGACATGTTAAACTGGGCCTGTAGTTTTTCATATGTGAAACATAATCTGAAACATGACAAAATTGTCCTTAAGTCTTTATTTTCTGTCCTCCAGTGTGAAAAGCGCACTAATTAAATGAGACATACAGATAGTAACAAAAATAAGCTGAATTGTTTTCAATGTAAAAAATAGGATAGCTTCTTAAATGTTCCTTGGATTCACCGTAACTGGAATAGTCCTGTAACTAAAAGAAATCAAAATAATGCACTTGTACTCTTGGACCGATAACTATTACCCAGTCAAACATTGCTGTATTTTAAAAAAAACCTGATCCCTTTGCAGTAATCATATACTGTAGCTTTTTAAGCAGCTCTAAGAGACTGGAATGCATTCCTGAAATAAAAAAAAACAGTCGAATGTTTCATTTCTCTACTCCGGCTCCTAACTGTTCTTTCAAACCAAAATAATTTGAGCGAAATATCTTTGTTCACTTTTGATATTGCCCTTATTTCTCACAAAGATAAAGTAGCTTTTTTTGTTGTGATCTGGCCACAACTGTAACACAGGCCCTGGTCACACAGTTAAATCCCTCATAATTTTGTTCTTTTTGTAATGTTACTGTGTTGATTTTCTTGTGGTGCAAAACGGAGCCCTTTTCACACTGGCTAGGTTTCTGCAGACACAGAAAAGGTCTATTGCAATACAGTGGCAGTACCTATTCGGGTAATTTATTTTTTTTAGCACTGATCAGTCTTTTGAAGCACTGTCACCCATTCTCAATTTCTACATTTCAGGTGGGGTAAAGTTTAGCTTGTAGATGAGCAAGCAGTGACCTTTGGATTCTGTCACATGCAAAAACAGGCAGCTACATTCCTTTGTTGAGTTTTAAAGATTGTTCTCAGCTTTTTTTTTTTACTTGGGATTGATGATATGTCAAGATGCAGTATGTAAAAAGTGTTTTTTTTCCGTCTCTTATCACTCTGTAGCTGTATTGTGTATTATGTGAATACATAGTGTATGTGGTACAACCCACATTTTTTAATGTTCTGGGATAAAGAAAGAAAAAAAAACATGGCAAAATGAATATTGTGTTTAAAAAGAAATAAATGTTTTTTTTTTTCAAAATAAATAAAGATCTCTGAACCAAATCATATGAATGGATGTAATAGTTGTTCATTTATACAGGTGGAAAAGTGGGGGTTGTACCACTGTAGCTAGACTGTTGTAAGCAGGGGGTAAGAATAAGCTAGGAAATATCTAGGATTTTCTGGCTGGGCAGTAGATCCACTTCAGCATACAGGTGTACTATATCTAATAGAGCCCTGGACT